CCACACATTTAATCAAGAGTTCTCCTCAAACTACCGCATAAAAAAGTAGAGGAAGGAGAGCTTCTAAATACATTCTACGAGACCAGCATTATCCTGATACCAAAACCAGACAAAGGCACTACACAAACAGAAAATTACAGGCCAGAATCCCTGATGAACACAGAGGCAAAAATCCTCAACAAAATATTAGCAAACTAAATTCAATGATGCATTAAAAGGACACTCACCATGATCAAGTAGGATTTATTCCAGGGATACAATGGAGGTTCAGTATTAGTAAATTAATTAGTGAAGGATAATTAATAAAGTGAAGGATGAGAATCATATGATTATTGTCTCAGCAGATGCAGAAAAAGTATTTGACAAAATTCAACATCCATTCATGAAAACCCTTAACAAAGTAGGTTTAGAGGGAACATACGTCAACATAATAAAGGCCATAAATCAGAAACCCACACCTAACGTCACACTCAGTAGGGAAGAACTGAGAGCTTTATCCCAAGATCAGGAACAAGACAGGGATGTCCACTCTCACTACTTTTCTCAACGTAGTACTGAAAGTCCTAGCCACGGCAATCAGACAACAAAAAGAAATAAAAGGCATCCACGTTGTTAAGGAAGAAGTAAAACACTCACTATTTAGAGATAAAATAATATTATATAAAGAAAACCTGAAAGACTCCACCAAAAAACTGTTAGAATAAATGAATTCATTAATGTTGCAGGCTACAAATTAATATTCAAAAATCGGTTGCATTTCTACACACTAATGATGAAATAGCAGAAAGGGAAATTAAGAAAAGAATCCCATTTACAATTACACCACAAAGAATAAAGTATCTAGGAATAAACTTAACCAAGGAGGTGAAAGACTTGGGGTCTAAAAACTATACAACACTGATGAAAGAAATTGAAGAGGACCGAACAAATGGATCAGAAGAATTAACATTATTAAAATGTCCATACTGCGAAAGCAATCTACAGAGTCATTACAGTCCCTATGAAAATATCAAGAGCATTTGGCACACAACTAGAACAAATAATACTAAAATTTGTATGAAACTACAGAAGACCCTGAATCGCCAAAGCAATCTTGAGAATGAAGACCAAAGCTAGAGGTATCACAATCCCAGATTTCAAGATACACTACCAAGCCATGGTAAAGTAGTATGGCACAAAAATGTACTCATAGATCAATGGAACAGAAGAGAGAACCCGGAAATACACCCACACTTACATGGTCAGTTCATCTGCAACAAAGGAGACAAGACTATACAATAGGGAAAAGACAGTCTCTTCAGTAAATGGTGCTGGGAAAACTGGACAGCTACATGCAAAGGAATAAAACTGGACCACTTTCTTCTACCACACAAAAAGAGGAACTCAACTCAGAATGGATTAAAGACCTAAATGTGAGACCTAAAACCCTAAGACTCCTAAAAGAAAACAGAGGCAGTAATTTCTTAAATATCGCTCTTTAGTTAAAAGAAACAACGGCAAAAATACACTGGGGCTACGCCAAAATAAAAAGCATCTGCACAGTAAAGGAAACCATCAATAAAACAAAAAGGCAGCCTAGTGAATGGGAGAAGATATTTGCAAGTGATATATTGGATAAGGGGTTAATATCCAAAATGTATCAAGAACTTGTACAACTCGACAGGAAAAAAAAAAAACAATCTGATGAAAAAATGGGCACAGAACATGGATAGACGTTTTCCCAAAGACGTAGAGATGGCCCAACGGACATATGAAAAGATGCTCACCACCACTCATCATCAGGGAAATGCAAATCAAAGGCACAATGAAATATCACCTCACACCTGTCAGAACGGCTAAAACTAACAACACAGAAAACAACAGGTGTTGGCAAAGATGTGGAAAAAGGGGAACCCCCTTACGCTGTCGGTGGGAATGCAAACTGGTGCAGTCACTGTGGAAAACAGAACCGAGGTTCCTCAAAAAGTTAAAAGCTAAAAATAGAACTACCGTACGATCCAGAAATTGCACTACCGGGTATCTACCCCAAAACAAAACAAAAACAAAAACGCTGATTCAAAAAGATATATGCATCCCTATGTTGATCAAGGCATTATTTACAATAGCCAAGATGTAGAAGGAACCCATGTGTCCACTGAGAGATGAATGGATAAAAAAGATATGGTGTGTGTGTGTGTGTGTGAAACATACACACACACGGAGTATCACCCAGCCATAAAGATGAATGAGATCTTGTCCTCTGTAACAGCATGGATGGACCTAGAAGGGATTATGCTTAGTGAGATAAGTAAAACAGAGAAAGGCAAACACCATATGATTTCACTGATACAGACAGAGAACAAACTTGTTGCCAAAGGGGAAAGGGAGGGAAGGACAAGAAAAATCAGTGAAGGGCGGTGGGAGGTACAGGCTTGCGGTTATGGGATGAATAAGTCACAGGGATAAAAGGCACAGGGAATCTAGTCAACAGCAAGCTAATAGCGTTGCGTGGTGACAAGACACCAGTCACGCTTGCGGTGAGCACAACACAGCATACGGACTTGTTGAATCACCACGTTGTGCACCTGAAACTAATGTAACATTGTGTGTTAACCGTATCAATTAAAAACCCTTAATATGTATTTTAATAATACACAAATGGGAAGAAACAATAAAGAAATGTCAACTCAGTTTGGAATCAGGAACCTCTACATTTGGGAACGATTCTACCCTAACTGGGCTAGACAATTCTACATCTCCAACTGAAGTTCTATTAGCTTACTGCAGAAATACCCCATTAATTAGAGAGAGAAACCTTCCATAGGACTATACGCCATTGAAACAATGATGAAACCATTGAAACCAATGATGAAACCATTGACACACGGACACACACAGAAAAGCAGAAGTCCCTTTTCAACTTTGTAATTAATCCTAAACTCAAAGGTTGGTGGAAGGGAGGATATCCAACAGCTGTGGGTACCTACGCAGGCCTCCACACCCCAGGCCAGTAGGAGCATTAGGGCATCTCTCTTCCGGCATAAAGGAACATCTGTAAAATGACTAGACGTGACGAGGATTACATGTGAACATTTAAATGGCATAAGGGGAAGCCAACGCTGTGGAAGAGACAGCTCTAGATTATCTGGGTTACTGCTGAGAGCTTTTAACACAGACGATCATAATAAAATCTGGAGAGGCAGTGAACTCCTGGAGAGCAGAGACATTTATATTCACGGCCCCTGACCCTTGCACATAAATACCTAGTCGACCATTAGTGAGCCCCCAGGGGTAGTCTGCTCCTGTGGGGGGGTAGCGTTTTATCACTGACATTCTTTAGAAATGCTGGTGCACGGTGATAGTAAAGAGCGGAGTGAGTTTTAGGTAGTTTTATCGCTGTCTTATATTCTCAGCAGATAACGTGTACCCCTTATGTCTGTCCCTTCGGCTGTACCCCACCCCCAGTTTTGTTCACAGCTACCACATTTGGACAGTGATTACATCCCTGGGACCTCTTGAGATGTAAGAGCCCTGACGTGGCACCTGCTGATAAATCAACTGGGGTCGGGCACCGCACCCACATCACCATGCTGCCATTGCCCCTGGGTGCCACGACCCAGGGTATCTCTATTAAATGAGCAATGACCATGGCCGGGAACAGGAGATGGGGGGGGGGGGGGGGGGGGGGGGGGAGGAAGTTCCTGGGAACTAAGTAGATTATGAGCCAATGAAAGTGTCTAGAAACTAGGGTCTAGTTATTTTCACGTGTTCTATTCTGCCATGTGGACAGACATTTGATTTCTCGATAAAGGTTTGGCCACCATTATATTCCCGGTGCATGCTGGAGACGAGCTGAATCTGGACACTGTTTAACAAATCTTTTATCCTGATTCACTGCGACCCTGCCACCCTTCTTGTTTTAGCTTCCCTGAATGTGGGTCCGCTGTGGCAACGCAGAGAGACCACATCACAGAATTAGGGGAAAGAGATCGCCAAATGCGCGGCCAAATCCGATCTCTCAGAATGAGTAACTTTCCCTGCTTCATTCCTGCGTCCTGCTGTGTGCCTTCTCTGCCCTATGCAGCCCACAGTGTCTAAATAGCACACACCCTTACAGTTAATTACAGAACGTCTGGTTAATTTATTCTGCCATCAGGGGAGGGCTAGAATTGGAGGTCAGTCCTAAAATGCCCTCAGGCCTGGATCTTCTACGGAGGGACTGTACAGAGAGAGTACTGAGAAACACGACTTTATTAGATGGTTGAAGATGTGTCCACAGCTGGGTGGGAGGCTGGGGTGTCTGTCAAACAGATCACCTGCTACTGAGCCATGTAGGGCTCCATCACGGGCCACACAGGCCCCTGTGAAAAACTGTTCAATCCCCCCCACCCCCCCACCGCCGGCCAAGCTACTTTTGTAATTTCCCTTACTTCGTGTTACAAACAAAAGCTTCCTAGATTAGCATGAGGAGGAGAGAGGCCCTATGCCTCTGTTAACATTGTAAGTTCCATGTTTTACTTAGCTGGAAAGTATTCCTTTCTCTTAGCTCTTAGGCTCCCGAGGGCCATTCATTTTCTTTACTGGTAACCACTTTAGCTGGCACAGGCCAAGCTCGATGTCTTGTGAACACTGAAAATTAATAGGAGAATAAACCCAGAGAAAAACCTAACTAAGGAAACTTATGACCGTGCAATTTAATTCACTGCAGGTGGACAAGGCTGGCATGCTTATGGGGGAAGGTGGTTAGAGATGTGGGTCCTATGTTCTGAAACATCAATCAGCAGCTGCCATGTTTTATCCTGTACTTATATCTAAACATTTACTCTTCAGTTCTAATAATCCTTCAATTATTACCTCAAATGGTAACGCTGAGAACTGGAATATGTGCAGATAACTCAAAACACAGGATTATATGAAAAAGGATGATGTCGATATGTAAACGTAAATCACTTCTTGGCCAGAATACATTCCGTCACTTTGTTCTGCACAGTCAACCAAATTGTTAAAAAGGGAGTTCCTACCTGGGGTCTTGAAGTTCCTCAGCTGGGAGGGAGTATCGTAAACTTCAAGGATCCAGTCACCGGTGGCTCGTTCTCCCCAGCAATGAATGGTCATGAACTCCCAGTTTTTAAATCCTTCCATGGAATGATCAAAAAGCCTGAGAGAGACCCATAAAACATTGTTTTGTATGTTGTTTAGGATCCAGTGAAGGTCGAATCAAGACCATGATCAACAATCCTTTTGTCTCCATCAGCATATCCAGCTCAGTACTGGAGCCTGTCTTCCTCCTGGACCTTGACCGTTAGTAGACCCAAACACGTGTCATTGTTCTACCACAGGGAAACAGGCGCAGGGGTGGCCTTGTAATAGCACATCGGGCAGGGGTAAACATTTCGGGATCGGGAAAACCAGGCTATGGCTCTACCCGAAAGACTGATAGAACCAAGTGTTGAAGACGTGGAGAAACTGAAACTCTCTTACACTGCTGATGGGAATGCCAAATGGTACAGTTTGGTACTTCTTACCGTGTCATCCACAATCCCTCGCCTAGATATTTACCTGAGCAACGAAGACATAATGTTCACACAAGGAACCTCACAGGAATGTTCACAGCAGCTTTATTCATGAGCACTGAGAACTGTTAACAACTCCGATGTCCATCAACTAGTGAATGGGGAAACCAGTTCTGGTATGTGCATACAACCAAATACTACCCAGTAATAAAAACTATTGAATGGCCAGCACACGCAACTGCATGAATTAATTTCAAAAGCCTTGAAGCTAAATGAAAGAAGTCAGACACAAAAGACTATGTGCCGTATGATTCAATTTATGACATTCTAGAAAAGGCAACAGAAACAGAAACAGAGTAGTGGTTGTCAGGGGCTGGGAGGGAGGAAGGGGCACAGTAGAAGTATTGGGTATGATAGAACCATTTTGTGTCAAAACGCATTACATTACACATATTAAAAAGTGAGTTGTACTTTATGTAAATTATGCCTCAATAAAAAGACCCTGCCCGCTAATCTTAACCAGTTCAGGGAGTCATGCCTGGCTCTACAACATAGATTCTGTTCTTCTAGCTCTTCCAACGATTTTCTAAGCTCCTAATTCCCTATGTGAAATCTTTGCCTCCTTGCAATAGCTAGACTTATTTGTTTCCTGTGATGTAATCCTGAGGGATATAGAATAGGAAGGGACATAAAAGAAGAAAACAGAATCCTCATCAAAAATAAAGAGATGTCGATAGATCATGTATAAAACTAGCACATAAAGAGGCCTATCATTTATATAGGCACATTGTATAGCTTTGACCGTCCAAAGAAATATCCAAAAGATTTCTATGGGGTGGGGGGATTGGCTGGCTCAGTGAGTAGAGCATGCAACTCTTGATCTCGGGGTCATGAGTTCAAGCCCCACGTGAGTTGTAGCGCCTACTTAAAAAAAAAAAAAAAAGATTTCTATTGAGAAAGAACCTAGAAAGCAAAAAATTAAGCGCCAAGAGACAGATTTTTAGAGTACTTAAAAAATAACGTGCATCGATTATTTTTGTGGAAAAAATAATAAAACAAGAGAGAGAATTTGAAAGCCAGATAGAGAGGGAAGAATATCTCTAGGATTGTCTTAGGAGTAACCATGTCCAATTACTGGGACATATCTGTCCTTCAGTGGAGGCAAAGTTCACAGCCAACTGGATGCCGATGGCTATTCAGAACATGCAATCAACTCTCCTTGCCTTAATTTCATGTTCACCAAGGAAACTGGTGGTTATAATTTGACATTCTATGTATATCTTGCCATTGGAAGAAAATGCGCCCTTCTAAAACCAAAAATAACCTGTGTAATCTCTCTGCAATTTAATATGCTAGAATTCTGATTCATTACGTACAAAAGCGTTCTATCAATATGTTTGAGGAGCCCTCTAAAACGCTCGATGGATTCTGAAGTCGCAGGGTTAAGGGGCACAACTGGAACGTATGAGGTCAATGGGTGACGTTCAGCATTTTTCCCTGGAGAAACGCAACAAACAGGAAAATCACCTCTACGTGTTCCTTAGCCCTTGGAAGAAGACAAAGGGAAAGTACTTACCAGCATTCTCAAAGTGTCCCATGGTCAGAAAGTTTGGGAAAATTTGAGAAAGGCTGAGTTAGAGTTGAACAGATCTCTTTACCGGAAAACATCTCAGATCTTTGGATGTTCAAATGCTTTGTTAATTTCCACAACGGGGCTAATGGTAGGGAGTGACTTTTCAAAGCTTGTATGAAGGAGAAGCCCTTTTTCTTTACTTGGAATATCTGTATGCTATCTATAAGGGTTAGTTCTGAACAGAGGAGTGTGGCATTTCAACGAGAACCATATTAGATGTGGTGGCTTTCCCTCACGGGTGGAAACAGTGACTCCTACACAAATGTCTTCCCAGCGTAAAAGATCTTCGATAAATCAGGGATGGTACATTTTATGGAGATCCTATAATTCATGCACAGGGCTTGTTTCACAAGCCTATGGCTTGAAATTGGACTTGACCAGGAAGCAATCACTGGCTCATTATATAACTCACTTACATACATGGACTCCTTCACGTAAACTCAGAGGGTGGGCATGCTGGATGAAAATGAGAAACAGCAGTGGGGAAGGAAGAGCCATTTCAAAATTTTTTTTTTTTTTCAACGTTTATTTATTTTTGGGACAGAGAGAGACAGAGCATGAATGGGGGAGGGGTAGAGAGAGGGAGACATAGAATCGGAAACAGGCTCCAGGCTCTGAGCCATCAGCCCAGAGCCTGACGCGGGGCTCAAACTCACAGACCGCGAGATCGTGACCTGGCTGAAGCCGGACGCTTAACCGACTGCGCCACCCAGGCGCCCCAGGAAGAGCCATTTCAAATCGCCCTTCGTCTCAGACAGATGTTACTAAAGGGAGTATGTTGACGCAGAATTGGGTGGAGGCAGAAACCAATCTAGAACCACTTCTTAGCCCAGAGAGTTCTGATTTAAGGCTCCAGTTCGTTGAAGCCACTGTGTCATCTGCGGGCACTGAGGCAACAAGTTGTCACATAATACCTTTCCAAGAGTGCCGAACTTAAAAGCAATTCCCAAACAGTTTAGACAGAACGTTTGGCTCATTGCCTCATGTCTCAAAACTACAAAGGAGACTTGAGGCTCCTCCATCACATGAGGGCAGTCTTGTTTCCATAACCCCAGCCAACTTCTAATTACTCACGGGTCAATTATTTGACTGCTGGATTAGTGGACCCTGGGTTTCTTCCCTTCCACCCTTTCCTGACCACCTTCGAAAATCATTCCATTGCGGCCAATCACTTTTAAATCACCTTTGGAACCAAAATTAAATATAAACGGGGTGCCAAGAAGAAATATCCATAATCGGCATTCAAGTAAGTGTTTCAAAGCCCGAATACAAATGGGCTTTGTCTATCTGGCTAAGCGGTTTCCCACCCTGGTCTCTTCCCTTTATGCAGAGCTGAATGCTCATTAATTTCATGTAGACATAAAAGTTGAGGAGAGGAATTAAAATGCAGCCAAACACGATCATTGCCTTTTGTTAAAAGAGTTGATGGGGAAAGAAATAGACACTGATTGCTGGTGTTGTTTCAACTAGCTGGGCATTCATGTTTCTAATCTCACCCTGTTCTTTATTTCATCCTGATGCAGCGCTTAAGCGATTCCCTATTTTTAGCATTGTAACATTTAAAACCCTGCCTCATCTGTAGATAACAAAAGGTAACACTGGCAGTAGATTCCATTTGTGTTGCAGACAACATACTTGCTCCAGACAAGCAAGTGTCATATGGTCACCAGCTAAAGAGATTCTAAGTGTGTGGTCTCCGTCCATCAACTAAAAAGTCCAATGCCCGGTTAGCACGTCTCTGCTGTGCCAACAGTGAAGAAACCCGACACATTATTAGCTAACGTTATTAGCATGGATAAAATGCCAATAGAGCAGGGCCAGTGTGCGGAAAGCTGGAGTAATGAACTCCATGCCCGAATCACATCTTCCTTTTGCAGCGAAACCCTGTTCTGTCCAAGTTGACTTCATCATCATGTGCTCGATGAAATGATATGTGCATGTGGTAGCACAAATTATGCATCCAGTTATTAAAATGGTGCCCCACAGCCCTATCCCTGTGAGTGGTTTTCAAATAAATTACTTTGGATGAAGCCTGGTAGAAAAGATTGCCATTAAGTGTAGTACATCCTTTTGAGGAATTAACTCAGGAAATAACTCATATAATTAGTGCAAGCTTTGTCCCCCCCTTCCACTTAAAGAGTCTAGCCAATGTGTCAAGGCTACAACATTCTTCAACGATGTTATAGCAGCTAAATAACAAGACATTTTATAAGTACTGACAGCTATGTGTTATCATATAATTATTTCTAAAAGTGTAAACGGATCTTAATTTCTGAATCATCTACTACTACCCAAACAGTATTTATGTTCGCTACAGAATTAGACTCTAGATAGATATTTTTGGAAGTTTCCTTTTTTTTCTTTCTCTGTCTTTTGAGATACTTTTTCTTTTCTTTTTAGTGCTTTATCACAATTTAACGTACAACTTACGGAATGCTGGAAGCACTCATTTGGCTTAATTGTAATTGGGTTTTCGATTTTCCTTAGATGGCTGGCTTTTGCAAGTTTTAAATAATTTGCTTCTGAAACAGGGTATTTCAAACACACTATTCAGGTTTTTCTGTCTCTCGTAGTCTAAATTACTTCTTTATGAAAGGTTGTGAGAGAGAGGTACTGATTCTAGAGGTTTGGAATATGTAAAAAGATGAGTTTAAAAACAAAAACAAAAACAAAACTTTCAACCTGTCTATTACTGACTCACCAAGCCCCGAATGCATTCCTTCTTGTGGATCTATGAGGTACGTATGTAATCTTGCAGATTTATTCCATTTAAGAGTGGCTGGCTTTTATCTCTAAGTATCTGTTTTCGATTACAGGCGCCTTTGTAAATTACTCGCACAGCACCCAGCAGTGCTCGGCTTGCAAGTCTTTTGAGGACATGAAACTAACAAGAATGTGTACGAAGAGCTGGGTGATCTTTTAAATCGCTGCCATTTAAAATGTGGTCTGTGGACAGGCAGCTTGAGCATCACCTGGGAGCTTCTTAGAAATGCAAATTCACGGACCTCATCCAGACCTACAGAATCAGACTCTGGGAAAGGGGCCCGGCCATCTGTGTTTGATGGAGTCATTCACCAGGTGCTTTGAGAAGCACTGTGTAAATAAGGGTTAGCACTTAGGGAGTGCTCACCGTGTATTCTAGGAGCCCTGCTACGGACTTGCTGTCCGGGAGCTTCTTCAGAGCTTGTGACCACCCTGGGAGGCGTCTAGGTTCTAGATGAATCACTTTCAGAATCACTTTCCAAAGTCAAACCTAAACATTGGTGAAATCAAGGCAATCCCAGCTCTAACTCCAAAGGCTGTACCCTCTTCCGGATGAAGGAGGAGGGTTCTTACGGCAAGGCCTTCCTGGAATGCCAAACTTCCCCTCAGAAGGGTAATTTTTACTGCAAGCCACAAATGCATTTATATAGCACGACACTTTGCAAATGTCAATAGTCTGTCATTCAACATTTGGGCAGCAACAAAAATGACTCAAATATAAACACCACATTTAAACACAGTTAATTATAGAAGCCTATAGGTTTTGCAGACTAGAAAGTGTACCTTCTCTCTACTTAAGACCATAATTAGAAGCAGAGATATTCATCTGTAATCAAATTTAGAAAGAAAGGCAAAGTTTCAGCTTTCAGTCAGAAGCCAAAATTTGGAACAGAGAGCCGATAGAACTAAACTAAATCTAAAACTCACTGACTTGGGGGAAGGGGAGTTTCAGGGGTGGTGGGGGTGGGGGGAAAGACAGCTTTTCATAATCCTAACCAATGCAGCTCAAGGAAGGATCGGCTGGGGCTGTTGTTTGAAGACTTGTACACGGGCAGACCCTGAATATGTGGGTAGCATAAAAAAGTCTTCAAGTCTAAAGTTGTTCTTGTCGAAAAGCATTTTAAAGGGACCCAAGCCCACCTAGGTTCCCCCCCCACCCCACCGCCCCGATGCAAGTAAATCCTTTGTGCTGATTAAAAAGTTGGGCTTTTTGTGAGGCAGGGTATACGGGCCAAGAGGAGGACCCAAAAGGTGGGAGGGCAGGGGAAAACAAAGGGATTAGAAGGAACGGACCAGTTGCCCACTCGAGGACTGCTGTGTGTCCTCAGTGCTCCCGCCCACTAAATGATCAACCTGGCTGGCCCCGGGGGAGCTCGCACGCTGGGCTGATGGGGCAGCTCGAGATGGACCCGCTCTGAATGCTGCTGAGCGCCTTCCAGGACGCAGCACCTGCAGATG